GGATCAACCTAGGTCAGTGTCACTCAGTTATCCGTAGGAATATATGCACAAGGGATCTGTCCTTGCTTAAAACTAAATCGGAAAATGCATCTGCAAACAGAGCAAGCGGGAGAGCAAATACACAGAGTGGAGCAGGCAAAAAGAACCATAGAGCTAAACCACTCACAATCCCCTTCACCACCAGGAGCTGACAGTTAGGTGGAAAGGAAAATTGAAGCACAGCTATTAATTTATATTCAATTATGTTTAAACATCTTATTATGATATCTATTGCGAGCAATTATCATGAGTCAATAACAGCTGAATGTTTAAATTATACCCCATGTCGAGGGGAACAGAAAGCAAACAATGCTGCAAATCACACACATACACATACAGTACAAATATACAAAATTATTTTCTATTATAATAAGGACTTTCCAATGACTTCTATTGTTTTTTTTGTTTTTTACACTAAACTAATAATATATTTCTATCCCTTAACCTTAAACCTAACTTTCACAGAAATGTTTATGTTTGCATTTTTATAATTTTATTAAGACATTATTTCGTACTTTTACTGTGCTTTCTGGGACATTTGGTTCAAACAGTGTTGTCAAAACTGATCTAGACTCCTTGAAATGCGGCAGCACAATAATGGTTAAACTGATAATCACAAGTGTTGTCATTTGACAAATTTCTTTTTACATTTAATCAGAATTACTGTACCTTCATGTAAGCACAAATCAAAAGAACGTTAATCAATATACAGGATTTATTTGACCTCATCTAGTTTCCTGATTTATTATATTTAGTACATGAGCACACTCTCATTATGAAAACTGGCAAAAGAAGCTTTTCACAAAAGCTAAAAGAGTGAATATTCGTAATATTCCTATATTAATTCCAAATTAATGTTTTTCTATTAAAAACAAAACAAAAAAACCCCCATTGTAGCACAGAGGTTGCGTAAGTTTCAGCAACCATAATTGCAAACAGTATCATCGAGATTCATGTTTGGATTTATGATAGTTTGATAGTTTCACTGAGAAGGTTTGCTTGAAGATTTAGTCGCAGCAAACAGAGCAAATGGTCATGTGAACAACACTTTCACAATATCGCATTTTCACAAATGATGCTGTACTACACTTTCACAATATCGCAATTGAAAACTCCAACCGAGTTCTCAGATCATCCGTGTTTTTTTAGTGCTGTGTAGAAAATATATCTATTTAAGTGAAAAGCTTTATTTTTGGGGATTTAAACTCTTGACATCTGGCAACCCCAAGCATGTGGAGGCTTGTTACCAATGCAAGCTAACTGAAAATTTCAATAGATAGAGAGAGAAAAAAAAGATTTTCAGCATAAATTACCAGTGGGCCAATATGGCAGACGATTATGCTTAATTAATCGAAAGACGTGGAAATCATGATGATGGTGAAAATACAATTAATCTTTTAATTGTTCAGCCCTACCTTGAAATATGATTAGTACCCCTTTTAACCTCTGACATTGTCAGTAATTCAAAGACCTACTCATTTTATATAAATACAAATTTTATGAACACTCTAGAATGCTGTACATACAATTTTAAATACATGTGCATGTCTATTGCAATAAGCTTTCTAGGAAGAGGACATTCTTATATCCACAAGTGAGACAAAATGCTACATTAAATTGAATGCGGTTACATAATTCATTTACATCTATGAGGCAAAATGGAAATGATATTTTTATTAACATCAGCATAAATCAAAGACCATAAATTAAGCATTTGTGCTTAGCAGCGAATGAATATGAAATGAACGTGCACACCCAATTAGAAAATTTTCTCAGATTTTTTTGCCCTTCTGTTTGATGATAAAACAGTGTGATGATCTATGATGCAGATATTCGAAAGTGCCTCTGTTCTTTTGATATAATGATTATTGTTGCAGTGGTTCTGAACGGGAAGAGCTCTAGGACATTGGGTGTGAGAATGACAAATGAACAGCTAATATTATGAGTGCAATTGCTGAAACCAAGTAGTGGGGCTAAATGCCAAGGATGTGATTGATCGAAAATATACCGCTTTCCCTGCTGATGCAGTCATTAGATAAACGCAGCATCTGGAATAGGCTAGACATGAACATGCCGTGTGCTCTTTTCCTCAGGCTAGTAATCCGCACGCACACCGAGGCCAGCAAGCTCAGCTATGGTCATCTCTTTATGCTAAAAATATCAGTCTGTCTGCTGTCAATACAAAGCTTCTGTGATAGTCACAGTGATCCCGTTTCCTCTTACATCTGCAATCTAGTCACACTGGAAAGGCTAAAGAGACGCTTCTCAAAAATCGCTCCTTGTTTTTTTGCCCGGGGTTGCACAGCCCGTGGGATGGAGGAAGTGTCCCGTCATGCGTGGAGACGGCAAGATGCCTGTAACTAATCTAACTGACAGCCTCTCAGACACAGATCACAGGGCTGATGGGAGAGAACGGTGGAGCAGGGAACTTTCCAAGCAGATTAATTCATAAGTAGTCCTTCTGTGGCTCGCGAGAGGCCGGTGCTGACATGGGATAGCCAATCCCATCTTCCGAAGCAAATACTTAAAAGAATAGTTCACTTAAAATGTGTCCTCATTTACTCTTCCTTGTTGTTACAAACCTGTATACCTTTCTTTCTGCAGTAAAACAGAAATGGACAAATTTTGAATAATGTACTGCTTTTTTTAATGCAGTTACCTGCAAGAATGGGAACTGAGGCACTGATGGAAATGACATAAAAGCACCATATAAGTATCATAAAAGTAGTACATATGGACCTTTTTTGCCCGTTAAATTTCACTCATGTGATCGCACCTTAACCTTTTGAAATCATATTATAGCTTTCTATAAGGAATTTAAAAGGATAGTTCACCCAAAAAAATCAAATTTGCTGTTAATTCACTCACCCTCAGGCCATCCAAGATGTAGGTGACTTTTTTTTCATAATTTTTCTGAAACCATGGTCTGAAGCTTTGCATTACATGTAATAATGTTGTAAATAATGTTCAGTTTCTTGCTCATACCAATGGTTTCACTTCATAAGACTTTAATATATCATCAGGAGCCATGGATATTAATTTTGTGATGCTTTTGTATTGTATATTTACAATATTGTATATGCTTTTTTTGACTGTGAAGTGCCAGTAGCCACTGACTTGCATTTTATGAATCACCAAGGACCACAGTTTCAGCTAAAAATCTTCTTTACTGTTCTACTGAAGAAAAACTACATCTTGGATGGCCTGAGGGTGAGTAGTAAACTAACAGCAAATTCCCCTTTAAGTTTAAGATTCAGTGATAAGACTTCCCTCCAAAAGCAGTTAACCACTGCTAATGAAACAGTGCGTCACAAGAACCAAATCTTACCTGGTTTGTGATGGAATCACTCAGACCATATCAGCTGATTCAATGTAAAGACATCCCTCAAAAGATTGATTTGTTCATGAATCAGACATTGTTACTTCTCTCCATGTAAAAGAGACCAAGGGCAGATGAATTTAATTAAAAAACAACTTGAAATTTTGGTTTGTTCGTTTGTCACAAACACCAATTCTGTGGCTCCAGAAGACTCACAAGTCATACTTTTATGGTGCTTTTGCATTCTTTTTGAAGCTTGAAAGCTCCAGTCCCAATTCAATGTTGTTACACTGAAACACATTTTTCAGAATTTCTCCAACAGGGTTCCACAGAAGAAAGTAAGTCACACAGGTTTGGAACGACATGGGGGTGAGTAAATTGTCTTTTAATGTCTGATGCAGACAACTGGTGCCTCTTGAATTCATCTTTGAATTCTTCAACAAACAGCAAGCACAAACAACTGTGAGGACAAGACTTCACATTTGCCTGTCACAACTTTTACCGCTTTTCTCTTCTCTTCTCAGCTTTGCTTTTATCTTTCTGCAGAAGCGTGGCATTTTTCCTGCCATGGCCAACGGGGAGAGAGACCGTACAGAAGGGTGAAAGAAAGTAGCAGTGGAAGAGAGAAGCCGAGAGAGTCTCAGCCGTCACTTCTTGTATCACATGAATGGTACTTAGGATCAAACATATGTATCTACAGAGAGACCTTGAGTAGAACAGAAGACTAAAACTCGACAACACATCAAAGGGTCACATGTTATCATATCCATCTCGGGAAGGTGTGTGTGTCCAACACATCCTATTAAGACTTGAAAAATGTTCCTTGCCATTACCAAAGCAATATTCATTCATCCACCAGTACACATAACATCAATAACTATGGCATGATGGACACATATAAGACCTTCCGGAGTGGACTTGGTTGGCTTATGGAATTTTTTTTATTTGTTTTAACCAATTTAGCTAATGCAAAAATCATGTATGATTTCAGACTCTAAATATTTAATTCCAACAGTCACTCTTGGCATAGGTGGTGTAAAAAGTGAATGAGAGTTTTTATAAAGCAGTATTGTTGCCATGCACTCTTTCAGTGGCTGAAACTGATGGCAGAATCAAACAACTGAAAAGTAAATATAAAAATGCACCCTGCTCTTCTCCCTTGAGGATAACAGCTGAATTCCCTGCTGTTGTCGGTACTTTTTAAGAAATCCCGACTACAGAGAAACAGGACCTCTCCTGTGAACACAATGAGGGTAGCGAGCCAGGTCTGTGCCCTATTTACAAAGACTATGTCCAAATGAATAGTCACTACAGGGCAAACCAGAGAAGAAAGCATATCTATCCACCTCACTGCGGACAGAAACTGTTTCTCTTGTAATGATAAATTGAATTTATTTGCAACACCTGCAGACTCCTCAGTTTAATCTAAAAACAGAACATTTGCTTCTAAAGTGCAAATAAACTCACTATTCCAGCAATTAATACAGGATTTTGGACATTTATTGCTCTTTACACCTCCACCATGTTCTTGATTCTAATAATAAATAGCCCAAAGTAGTTTTTGCCATTTACTTTTTCTCTTTAGTTAACTTTTTGAAGCAAAAGTTTGCAACTCGATATCAGAAACTTTCCTCGAGCTTACCACTGTAAAGTCTTCGGCCGAACAGTTCTGCCCACTGAAGTTGCAGCTCTTCAGCATCTCTTCCAGCTGGTGACCCGTCCGGTTGAAGATGTCCTGCATGTCAGGTGCCGGATACTCCAAATCGATGGGCTTGTGGCCGTCCTTGTTTTTGGGGGGCAAGCCGGTCAGGTTGGCCAGGTGGTAGATGTCGGCATCGGTAAGAGCGGAAAAGCGGAAACGGTTGATGTTGCAGATGGTCACGGCAGGAAACACCATCTCCGGGGTGGCCTCCTCGTTCAACGCCATGACGTGAGGATGCTCCAGGTAGGAGATGGCACACTTTGCCGCCTGGTATAGAAAGAGAGCCAGGGACACCAGGAATGCGAGAGCCCAGAGGGTCTGTCTGACGCCCAGCCGGCCCGACACAAAGATGTGGTTAATCCCATGGAGCGAGCAGGCACTGGCAAAGCCGGCCAGGTCCTTGGCTGGGGGGCTGCAGCTCTCTTCGATCAGGCTCTCCTTGTCGCCATCCTGGTTGCCTTTCTGCTTCTCATCCTCCTCTGCAAATTTGATTTTGCAAACAAATTCGATCGGCATGTGGGCAGCCAGGTCTGCGTTTGGGATGCTTGGATAACAGCTTGGAGCTCCAGTATCCACTAAGTCCCGTTGCTCTGAGAAACAAGATCTCAACTCCAGAAAGAAAATAAGGGAAAAAAAGGCATGCAGAGCGAGAGGGAGAGCGGCCGCTGCTGTCGTGTGCAGTGGAGGGAACTGCTTCTGTCTCTCTGTGCTGATGCTCCTGGTGCTGCACTCGGACTGCTCATCTGAGCACTTGTTCGGCATGCATACGAGTCCTGCTTACCAGCTGTGATACACCTAGGGAAACAAAACAACAACAACTAAAATACACAACAAATCTCCTCTTTGCTTTATAGCCACAGATGAAAATGCAGCATTTTGACTCAAGCTAAAAGAGACTGGGGGGCTTCTTAATAATTCATGAGGAAGCAACACTGTGATTATTTCCTTTTCACCGGCACAAGCAGTGGCAACTCAAACACCCCCCACGCTCTCTGTCCTCTCGCTTTCTCTCTCTGTCTCCTGCTCTCTCTCTCTCTCTCTCTCTCTCGCTCACACACACACATGCGTACGTATACACTCGCGTCCCCCCTCGCTTGCGCTCTCTCTCACTTAATCCACTTGTCACACACACACACACACATGCGTACGTATACACTTGCACCCCCTCGCTCGCTCTCTCACTTAATCCACTTGTTTGAGACGCTTTCTTACCCCTTGACCACAATAAGTTTCCGTCAAGGGCTGCTTCACTGAACATCCCGGTCTAGATGAGAACGCTGGGGGGGGGATAGCCCCCCACCTTAGTCCCAGAAGACATCCTAATTGCGACAATAATGAGCCGTGAGGATTGAGCGTAAACAGCTCACAACTCTGAACGATCAATCTTCAAGAAAAAAAAAAAGCAAAGAGAAAGGGAAATAGAGAAAGAAAGGATATTGATCGCGTAGAAGCATCAAAATATTAAGGAAAGCAGTACAACGGTTCTTTCTTATCAGGAATTAATGGTAGCATCACCAGGCTCCTGCACGAATTTAAATTAGTGCCTGTCTCCCAATGTAGGTTCAGATGACACCAAAGACACAAAAATAACATATTGATCTTGACCCTACTTTCACACGTTGTAGCTTCTTTCATAGGCGAGCACTCTCATGCTGTTAATAGCCTTTTGCTATTGCCAAACAAAATTATGCAAAATGCATCTCCCTAATGCATAGTTTTCTTCAACAAACATACCTTTACAGGTCAAATCTCCTTGGTATTAAACATTTGGAGAAAAGCAGTATTTTAAGACTAATCAAAAGGCTTTAAAAATTCAAGACCCAAGCAAACTTTGGGTCTTGTACAAGCTCTCTTTTAGTATTATATAATAGGGGAGTATTATTAAGCATAACCAACAAGTTACAGTGTGTATATATATATATATATATATATATATGCGCATCACTAAAACATCACATCCCAATACTGTTGAGATTCACATTTTGAAATAAATAATTTAAAATACACAGTCTATGCGAATGAGACTTGTTTCTACAGAAATGTATTTTCTTTCAAGAATTTTGGTTGCCACAATCAGTGTCGAACTCCATCCGACCAATCATGGATAATGGAATCAATCATTAAATATTGTTAATTTCAGATACTGGAGCCTACTAAGATCATATAGACATTTAAAAGGACAATTCACATAAAAATAAACATGCTGTCATTATTTCCATCATTTACACAAGTAAGTAATTGAGTAAATGATGACAGATTTTTTGGGTGAACTGTCCCTTTAAGGCTTATCTAGTTACAGTGTGTATATATATATATATATATATATATGCATCACTAAAACATCACATCCCAATACTGTTGAGATTCACATTTTGAAATAAATAATTTAAAATACACAGTCTATGCGAATGAGACTTGTTTCTACAGAAATGTATTTTCTTTCAAGAATTTTGGTTGCCACAATCAGTGTCGAACTCCATCCGACCAATCATGGATAATGGAATCAATCATTAAATATTGTTAATTTCAGATACTGGAGCCTACTAAGATCATATAGACATTTAAAAGGACAATTCACATAAAAATAAACATGCTGTCATTATTTCCATCATTTACACAAGTAAGTAATTGAGTAAATGATGACAGATTTTTTGGGTGAACTGTCCCTTTAAGGCTTATCTACATGGATGCTTCCTTTGATATCATGTGAGTGAGTGAACTAGACAAGCATGATATCTGTGTATAGTACGTTTCTCTATTATATTCTCAGTACTGTTCTCTGCAAATGGAGATCTATATTTAGACTATATGAATGTGTACAAGGGCACCCTTACTGTGAAAACTTCTATCTATAAATAATTAAGCTTACCTCACCTCACATTTACCCCGGGTGTGATTGTGAAGGACCTTTATTATCCGTTACTCTGACAAATGCAAATGTGTTTTTCTGATTGTAATGAAATTGCTCAAAGTCATCAGTTATAAGAGACTTTATTGGGACAATAAAGACAATAAATCTATGGGACAATAAAGCATTTCCTTCTACAGTAGTGTGCCATGGCCCTACAGCTCAAATGCATGTAATGCATGTTAAGCATGTGCATGTGGATTAATGAAATGTATCATTTCCTCTTAACACCACCTATGCAATCCAGCATCATTGTAAAGCAGTAGAAAGCTAAACATTTCTCTGCAGTCTTCTGTTTTTCAGCTTCCTTGCCAGGTCAAATTTTCTCAGAAGTGTTAGTGGAACCTTTTATTTTTAGCTCCAGTAATATCGACAGATTTACTTTTAAAAACGACTGCTCACTGATAATATTTCAGTGTTTTTTAAAGAGTTTATCATATTCTAACATTCCTAGAACTGGCACTAGAATGGCCCCTGCCTCTGACTCAATATGGCTGTAGTTTTTTTTTTTTTATGTGTACTTGTCTATGCAGCACTTCATACAACAGTCTCTTGATGGTGAGCCTCTAGAGCTTGCTGGAGCCTCTGGGATTCCCTTTCCCCCTGACCAGCAGTGTTCCCCAAAGCCATTAAAACATTATTTAGGCACTATCAGCCTCCCAATGCTCCAGTCAGTCAAACATGGGGCGTTCAAAGCTGGGTGTTCAAAGCAAATTTAACATAATGGCAAACTCACAGCATATACGTTCATAACCCAACAAGGTTTTCCAAGTTAAACCTCAAGTTTGAGCTAAATTTCAGAATTTAAAAAAGTCTTTCCCAGAGGAGACTGTATTCAGTCACATGTTGGGGCTAAATGGGGCTTCATCATGTTGTTCTGATGAAAGTACTGCGGGGGGAGGGAGGACAGAGTGAGGAATGAATTCTAACCTTGTTCCAGTGATATGAGACAGCAACATGCTCAAAGGACACATCTGTCACATGGCATAGGAAAGCTCCTAAACCGAGTTATACTGCTTTTGCTACAAAACATGGACATGTGTCTGATGTGGCAGTGAGAATTGTTCACTTCATATAAATATTTGCAGTTATTAATTTATGACTTTGGAAACATACAGTTAGTAGGATTTAATTGTAGGGTTTACCACTGACCAATAAAAGTACAAGTGAATATTATCACAAAATATACAGTGAATATAGCCGAATTCCGTTATAAATATTTGTAAATGTTTTCATAGTAAAAGTTGCATGAGCATTGCTATTCTGCACCAGGATCCGAAGGTGAGATATTTTCGGATTCTACCAGGTGCAGTAAATTCGGAACAGTGTGAGGGAGATAATATAATTTTCCTGTGAGGGATATTCATTCAGGAGGTGTCAGGAATACCGCTTCTGTCACTGCTTCCACAGACATCATCTTGGCTAGCACATTTCTGCTATAGATCTGTCTTCAGTGATGTTAAAGAAGAGAGGATGTTAGATTCTTCCTCCCATTTACAGAGAAACAGCATCATATGAACATCACGTAAATCATGCCAAATATAGAAAAACAGTGTTGTTGTTAACTAAAACAAAACAAAAATTAAAAACTGTTTTTATTAATTAAAATCAAGCTGAAGTAAAACAAGATATACATTTTAGATGAAACACTTGATGAAAACCTGAATGAAAATTAGAAACACTGCCTTGGCAACTAACTGAAATAAAAAAAAGTATAGTAAAATTACTAAAACAAAGGGTGTGTTTACACTCATAGTCCAGTTCTCCTGGTTCTTTTGGTCCAGACCAAAAAAGAAAATGATACATTTAGTCCTAGCTCGCTTAGCATTCACACTGTCATTTTTAACACTCAACCTCACGATATGGTCACAGCCTGACTGTACAGCGAATTTACCGAACATCTAAAACAATGCTGTGTGCTGGGCTAAATAAGCTCATTGTATGTGTGTGCATATCATATTTTTACCTGCTTATAACCCAAAATATGTCAAAACGGCGGCAGGAATTCCTCCGTTGCACACGCAGAGATCTGCTGCAAGTATACGGCTGTACCGAACCGTAAAGGGTAAAATAGCTCCTATGAGAAGAACCGGATATGCTTGAGCATTTTGTCTTTTTTAGGGTCACATCTTGTCACATCACGTCCTATTTTTGGATTGTTTAGAAGGCTTTGGTCAGTGTTGCATACATATATCAAATCACACCAGAGTTTTGTCAGGGGATCTCAGTCCGCTTGTTTGGTGCCCACCAAGGTTTAGATGGCAGTGTTTACACTTAATCAAATAAACCACATTAACAGAGAAATCACAGTTCTTTTTAATTTAACCAAACCTGTGTAAGAAAAATGATGCGGACGATGAAGATCTCGATGAAGATGTTTATTGCAGCATATCAGTGAATTCAGTTCCGTTAGAATTTTAAACAAAATTGTACCGAATAGGCTTAATAACTCCTCCTGCTAATACAGAATAAACTTATCTTCTATCCTTACAATTTCTTTTCTAGATTTTTTTAAACGAAGGGGTTTCCCTGACAAATCCAGCAAAAAGAAAGAAACCGCTTTTCTTACCTTTTTTCCTGCTTTTTGGAAACTCCTGCGCTGGGAGGCTCATGATCAAACATATTGTGGAGTGGAATCTGGGTCGGGGCAGAATATAGATTCTTACACCTGCCAACACTAAAACTAAAAAAAATAAATAAAAATAAAGCAAAATATATATATATATATATTTTTTTTTTTAATTTTTAAATTTTTTTTTTTTTATAAAAAAGGCAAAACACATAAATACATTTACTAAAGCTAAAAATGAAAACTGAAAATATTAAAATAAAAGCTAATTCAAAAAATGAATAATTAAAAAAAAAATAATAAAATAGCGGCAGATGAATCTCTGATGGTATTAATACAATACTTACCATATTCTTTGAGAGGCTGACCTTTTGTCTGCAGCCCTGGCGAAATGCTAAATGAATTAATGAATAAACAAATGTATAAATCAAGCAATGAACAAACCAATGACAGATGGAATCCTACTTCAGAATGACAAATCATGTCACACAATCAGTCAATATGTTGGTTTGGCGGTTCCATTAAGTTTCAACAAACATAAACAGAGCGAAAGGGAAAACAGAGCTGGATATTTCTCATCTAATACACCTTTTCCACAAAAGTGGTGATGGTTGTTGTGCTAGAGCTGGTGCTTGGTTGGTGTCAAGCATGAATGTTTTAGGGGGCGATGTGGAGCTGATTTTTCCATCCCAGAACTGCCTTTTAACTGGTGAACACACAAAACACTGGATCAGTGAAAAAGGGACAAAAGATCACTGCAGCCTTTG